GGCCTGCGGTGGCATAACCTAGCGTGAGCTAAGGAGCCGTCGGGGTGCATAAGGGGTTGTCGGGCGTGATGTAGGCGCGACCTAAGGTTGACAAACGCGGCCCACAGAGGGGCCTTCTTTACGGGGCGACGCAAATGGCCTGCGGGGACTGTCCTATGGGGCGACGTGAGGGGCCCGTGTGGGCTTCTACTGGGCACGCTTTGAAGGGCCCACAGGGGCGTGTTAATGGGCGATGGGAGGTTGAGTTAAGGGAGGGAACAGGTGGGGCCGGCGAGCCCGCAACCGAGGTGGGAAGGACTAATGGGGTGCGACTTAGGGGCAACATGACGAATGAACGGGGTGCTCCCGGGTATGCAAGGCAAGGCACGGGCTAGGTACATAGCGATGGTACCATATTAGAGAAGTGTGAGAACGAGAAGTCTGAATCAAGGGCATACAACAGCGTACATGTGCAGACCTACCCTTGGAAATGTACACCTAGACTACAATACAAGTTACGTAGCTGTCGAAAAGGCGCAGCCCCGACAGGTAGTCCTTGGTCTTCCTTGGACTGAAAGTGAACTCTCTACACTGCCTCTTCTGGACCCATCTCCTACTCGTTATTTTTCCTTGCTCACTGACTCCTCCTCTCCTCTCAGACCCGTCTCTTAGCCTCTTTCCTTGTTCCTGTTCCGGGCGTCCACTCCATGTGCCTTCGTTCTCTCTCTCCTCGTGTCCCTCCTCCTGTTGTCCTGTCCTATCCTTAGTCGTCCCTTCCTGTCTCTCCTCCTTAGTTCTCTAACGCTATTTGTACCGTTCGTCCCACAGTCTCCCTTGTCGTTCCTCGTTGGTCGCTGACCCCACTGCTCCGTCGCAGTCTGTCTTGGCTCTTGTTAATGCTGGTGTGATTTTGCTTCCACCCATCGCTTTGACTACGCCACTCAGCTGGTGTTTAAGACTGCCCATCTTCTGTCATTTGGTATGTGAGTACGCCGCCGTTCGACATATTAAACATTTCCATTTTTTTCCCTTATCTTATTCTCCTTATTTACCTCTTTCATCTGCAATTTATTTCACCTCAATCGGACTACCAGGCCCTCAGATATCAGGGTTTTACCCCTGAAATTCCTGATTTTTAGCCTACTTTTTGGTACCTACACTGAAATTCAGACTTTTGATTTTAGTGACACTAATTTTCCAGCCTTCATTTCATAGTTAAACACTGATTTTTCTGCCTTTTATCGACGTGTACACTGAATGCACATTTGGAATCCTTTCTGTAAAACACCCCATCACAAAAACCCTGTGCCAAGTTTGGATGAATTTTGATTTCGATTGACTTCGCGTAAAAAATTTCGGATCCAATTTGGACTGACAGTTGGAGTCATTTGATAGGAGCCCCGACACACATCGCGCAACAACGTTTGGCTCGGAACAAGTTCCGATTTGGCGCACGAGCTTTCCAAGATGACATTCGGGCGCAACCCGGTTTGGTGCAAATTTGGGACCAAATGATTCAAAACTACATTCTAGTTTTGTTCTTTTTATATATTGAGCACTTAAAAATTACAGTTATATTTCTAGTTCACAACAACCATTATTCAACATTCTAACAACCAGCAGTTTTAACACCAGGTCAGCTAGCCTACGCAATGCGGGCCTTGCAAGCGCCCGGTGGGCAAGAACGACCTCTCCAAGGTCGTCATTGTTGATGAAGAACTTGTTCGGGAAGACGAACGCACCCTGTGCCGGATCGTGTGGGATCCTCCGCTCCACGACAGCAAAGTGGATCATCTGCTTGACCTTTTCGCACCACTCCAAGTAGTCTGGCCTGTTTTGTTCCGGCTGACTACTAAATCGCTTGCGACGCTCATCCTACAGAAGAGGCCATTCGATCTGCAATGTGGTGTAAGGTTGGGTGGATGGTTGATGAGGAGGGGGGGGGTTACGGGTAAACGAGCCAACTGAAAGCGGTGATTCAGTCGTCACTATCTACGTAACTGCAAAGGCTTGATCGACCAGAGATTTAGTTGGATTACAGGCAAGGGGTTAAGGGGATGAGGCATGGGGGTACAAACACATATCTACATCCTTACCGAAAACAGGCCCCCTGCCACCATGCGGCTCTTGAACTCGGTGAACACGACCCCGCCCCTCTTGAAGGAGAGCTTGAACGTATAAGCGAACAAGGGGTTGCTGAAGGGCGTCTGGTGGCCTTGTCAAAGTGCCAGTTGAGGGCCCACTGTTCTGCATTTTGGCAGGGAGGGTATGGGTTAGAAAGGGGGTGCAGAGAAATCAAGTGGGGGGATGAGAGTCAAGGTGAGCCACATCGCACAGTGATATGTAGCTGCCAACTGGCATATGGTGGGGCATATGGTGTTTTCGAGTTGCACATACCATCTCTGTACTCAACTAGGAGTTGCTTGTTGTCGAACCACCTCGTTGGGTGTAGCTCAATGGGCAGGCTATCCACGAGATGGCTGAAATCGGCAAGGCCCATGCCGGTGTATGCTGCTCGCCTGAGGGTGGAGTTGATTGTTGACCTTGTTGACATCTGATGGTTGAAGACTGCTATGGTTGACTTGTAGTTGTGCAACCACAGCAGCTTCATTGACTCGAGCCCTTCTGCAGAGAAGTGGACAGAGAACGCTTCGAACACTTCCTCCGATGCAGGGTAGCATTGTATTTTTTTCAGCGGGTTCAAAAACAAGAGCTGAGAGGTCACTAAGTAGGCTTTGTTCTCCGCAGGGGTGTAGGGTATACAACACGACATGAGAGAGAGAAACCAGCAGTTATGATTGTGGCCGCGTGACCACAAGATGGTGATTAGCAACACTGTGTGAACTTGCCACGTCACACCCTCCTGCATCCGCCTTGTCCACCAACAACCCGCCCCACTTGCCACGTCACACCCTCCCACCACGAGCCACGTCACCCCCCACCCACGTGACACGCCTCGCTCATCATGCACCGCTCCCGTGTACCCTTAAACCGCCACGTCATCACCAACCCTCACCTTCCGCCATGTCACACCCTCCTGCATCCGCCACGTCCACCAACAACCCGCCCCACTTGCCACGTCACCCCCCCCCCCCCCCCCCACCCCCCACCCCAAGCCACGTCATCCCCAACCCACCTGACACGCCTCGCCTTGTCATGCGCCGCTCCCGTGTACCCTTTCAAACCGCCACGTCATCCCCAACCCTCACCTTCCGCCACGTCACACCCTCCTGCATCCGCCACGTCCACCAACAACCCGCCCCACTTGCCACGTAACCCCCCACCCCCCCCCCCCCCCACCCCAAGCCACGTCACCCCCCACCTACCTGACATGCCTCACCTCATCATGCGCCGCTCCCTTGTACCCTTTCAAACCGCCGCGTCATCCGCAACCCTCACCTTCCGCCATATCACACCCTCCTGCATCCGCCACGTCCACCAACAACCCGCCCCACTTGCCACGTAACCCCCCCCCCCCCCCCACCCCAAGCCACGTCACCCCCCACCCACCTGGCACGCCTCGCCTCGTCATGCGCCGCTCCCGTGTACCCTTCAAACCACCACGTCATCCCCAACCCTCACCTTCCACCACGTCACACCCTCAAGCATCCGCCACGTCCACCAACAACCCGCCCCACTTGCCACGTCACCCCCCCCTACCACAAGCCACGTCACCCCCCACCCACCTGGAATGCCTTGCCTCGTCATGCGCCGCTCCCTTGTACCCTTTCAAACCGCCACGTCATCCCCAACACCGCCCTGGTTGCCACATCAACCGCAACGCCCCATTTGGCCCGCCACATACCGGGAATGGGTCTGTCTCCTGCAACACAAGCACTCGTGCCTTGTCTACGGCACTCATCGGCGGCGGGGTACCAGCCATAGGCACCACTGCGGACCCCCCGACATAACTGTCAGGTGCTCCACAACGCAGGCCGAGCTGAGCAAACATGGCGTACATCTCAGCCCGTAGCGCCTGAAACTCCTCCCGTGTAACAACCTGCTCGTGCTCCGCACTTTCACCTAGGGCACCCATGAAATTGGGAAAAGGGTGTGAAGAATCCCCCCTCTGGCCAAGGGGATCAACATCTTCTGCAGCAGTCCCGTATGCCCTCACACTATCACGCTGGGGGGAAAAGGGCAGCTCAAGGAAGGGATTGGCAGAAGTGCTTGGCTTATGCACGTGCGAAGGACCGGCGAGGGGGAAGACCGCCCTGCCCCAAACAGGAGAAGCGTGGAGCTGCCGATATGGGTATGAGGTTGAGGGGAGTGGGGAGTGCATGACGTGGCCTGGTGGAGGGGATTCGGCTTCATCTCCTCTTGGTGTGTCGGGTGCTGTAGCAGCGACTTTAGACGGGACTGAGTATGGCGTGAAGAACCGCGGGGCTCCTGTGGATAGCGGAGTAACACTCGCTCTTTCAGCCCCCTTCGTTAGCTGCATCCGTTGCATGCTTACCGGTGGCCCAATGCCTGTAACACGAGGGGCTGAGAGTTATAGGGAGCATGAGCACAGATTTGGAGTCGATTACGTTCAATACAGGGGCACACATGCATGCAAACGAGCAACGGTTTAAATCTCAATCGGGTTTAGCAGGATACTGTTTTGTAAAAAGAGGCCTTACCCTGCTTTGCAGATTCGTCGACCTTGTCCTTCCCTGCAGGGGGAAAACAATGTGAAAAATGGTGTTAATAGACACGGTTTAGCACAAAATACGACAGTCATGCCATGTGTATGGGCCACAGTGCTTACCTCGTTGCTGTCCCTTCAGTTTAGCTGCCTGCGCCTTCTCGTTGCCACCTTTCCGCAGGGTGCTTTGGCGGCCGCTGCGACGCTTGCCAGTAGGTTCTTTCTTGGCCGAACCCACAGGAACCCCTTTGGCGCGGCCACCCTTTCCTTCTCCATCCCCTTTTGCTCCCTGTCTCCCTTGCTATTTACCACCCCCTTCAATTTCGCCCTTCACTTTACGCGCCTTCGATTTGCCCACTGCTTCGCCACGCGGTGCGTCAACTGCCCCGCGTTTTCAGGAATGACAAGTCCAACCCCCCACCTTCCCCATACCACTCCGCCTTCTGACTCGCGCACCCTGTCCCTTCACTGTCGCCACATCCTCCTCTTCCTCTTCCGCCCCTTCCTCCTCCTCCTCCTCCTCCTCCTCCTCCTCCTCCTCCTCCTCCTCCTCCTCCTCCTCCTCCTCCTCCTCCTCCTCCTCCTCATCCTCATCGTCCCCCTCTTCATCCCCCTCTTCGTCCTCTTCCTCCTCCTCTCCTCCTCCTCCTCCTCCTCCTCCTCCTCCTCCTCCTCCTCCTCCTCCTCCTCCTCCTCTTCCTCCTCCTCATCCTCGTCGCCCCCTCTTCGTCCTCCTCCTCCTCCTCATCTTCATCCTCCTCCTCATCATCCTCATCTTTTATCGCCTCCCCAACATCCGGGTCCTCCTCCTTCGCATCCTCTTCATCCTCCTCTTCCTCCTCTTCCTCCTCCTCATCAGCCTCCTCCTCCTCATCCCCCTCATCCCCCTCATCCTCCTCCTCCGCATCATCAGGGTCTTCTTCACTACATTTCGGCCTCTTCCCCCTCGCTGCTCGCTTGCCCCTCCTACCACTAGATGTTTTCCTCGCTATGGGTCGGCCCTTCTGGCGTAATGCATGACCCGTCGCCTTGCTACTTGCTTCCCTGGCGCCTCGCGTTGTCCCAACTTCAGCACCACCAGCGTTGTCACCACTGCCTGTCGTCTGCCGCCTCTTCGCCCGTGTAGTGATGTCCCCGGCCGCGGAGTTGTCATACTCTTCCTCCCCATCGCTCTTCCTCTGCCTACGCCTCCCACGTCCACCAGAAGGAGGAGAGCCACCGACGTCGGCGATGACGTGTTTAGGCTCCTCCATAGAATCCTGCTCCCCAGCCTTGTCCTTATCTACCACGGTAGCAGAAGCTTCGACCACGGTCAGCTGGAACAGCGTCAGATGGTGCTGCGATGCCTCCGCCTCAGACTCCAGGGTTGCGGCATGCTCGTCGCAGGGAGCGTCGTTGTGGTTTGCCCCTGTCGCCGAGGCCTCTCTCTCCGCCGACCGGACTGCAAGACCCACGCTCCCTCGACCGGGATCTTCTTTGCCGCCGATGGTGCCGCCGTCAGTCGGACCGGGCTTGGTTCCACCAGAGGCAACATCCGCATCCTTTTTCACTGTAGAAACCCGCTTGCGTGGCATTGGCTGCTTCCCCTTGTCTTCCGCCTTCTTCTCAAACTTCTCCTGTCCAAGCGCGGCCTTTTTTCCTGCCGCTTTTTTCTGTTAACTGCCACGCGCGGCGGACGCTTTAGTAGCTTTAGATCTGCCCCCACCCTCTCCATGGTCTGAAGAGACTGCCTCCTTGTCACGCGTCGTCCAGCCTTTTCCTCCTTTTCTTTTTGCCGAATTGCACATGTCATGGTTGTAGTACGAATGCTATTTTTAACTTGCGGAACAGTTGAGCGGGTTTACCAAGCGAACCGCAAAGGGGGAGACTCAGCGGTCTAACCGATCATCTCTCGTCGAAAACCTTTGCTACAATGAAAACTGAAATAGTAGCCACTAAGCACATAGCTACGGCCACGCATCCACCGAGCAGACCACGTGACGTTTTGATCCGCATCCACAACTTCAATCTGTAGGTTGGGGAGAGGCTGGCATTTCTCAGTTCCAAACCGGTGTGCCCGCACTGCGGGGAAGTGGAGACCATGGAACACTGTCTTTTTGACTGCCCGAAAATTCAAGTCGTGGTTCTAGCGCTCAAGAGGGCACTGCGTATGATCAACCCTTCTCGCACAGTTGCCTCGCTGGGGGACATGCTTTTCAAACGGGCAGCATCCAGCTGAGCTTTTTCGGAAGCAACGATTGTAGCCATTGGCTTACATCAGCTCTGGGTTGAGCGCTGTGACGCAGTCTTTCGGGACCGGCAGTTTCGTGCGAAACGGGTCCTCAGGCGGATTGAGGTGGCTTTCAGGTTGCATGCAAAAATCTTCTTGAAACACATGGGGGAGAAACCTCGGAAAAGGGGGGGGGGGGGGGGGGGGGGGCAGCAGCAACGTCTCTGCCACGTGGAGTTGTCAAGAGATGCGACTTCTGGATAGGGTCAGGGACAAATCCAGCAACAAGTGGTCATAGACACCTGGCTTCGCGGCAATCTGGGCACGTCCGAGTGCTGCAGTTTGTTAGAGCCCCATGTTTTGTTCCAAGGCAAGGGCTTATCCTTAGCCTCCAAGCACAGTTACGGCTGTTCTTGATTTGTACACTTGCTCACTCGGTGTATATATCAATTACCATAAAAAAAAAAAAAAAAAAAAAAAAAAAAAAAAAAAAAAAACACGCCTGTGTCAAACGGTGAGCAGCGTCAAACTGTGGGTATGAGGGTGACGGAAGCTGGTGGGTGGGGCACGAGGGTGGTTGGGGTGGCTTGCGAGACTAGAGAGATGACTGTAATCAGACCAGGCACAATCGGACGGTGTACGTTTAGCCACCCGATCATATACCCACTTATCGCTCGATCACAGCCGCTTCAAAGGCGGATGTACCGCTTGGCTGGTGCTTTTGTGGCGAGAGGGGTCGTTTGAGATGCGTTGGCCAATCAGTGTTGCCAACGCATCAATCACTGCACACTCTCGAACGGTTTCTGAACCACTGCCGCGAATGTAACCTAAACCCTGTAAAGTACAGGGCTGATGCAAAATGAACAAAGTTGCACATACAAGCAAGCTACAACAGATACAATCTAAAAACAAAACGTTGCGCATGTTATAGTTTGGTGTTATGGTAAGGTAGTGGATTTCGCTCATGTCACACACACTTGTATTGTATTGGGCACAATTTTTGCATGGACGTTCAACATGGTGCATTATGGGGTTCGTATGAAGCACTGGGCTAACGCACAAGCGGTGATGTGTTATCGGCAACCATGTTTCGACAGTGCGACGTTGCGGCGTTCATGCCCATGTGTTGCACGACATGGTGAAACCGTTTTGGTATGGTACGGATTGAGCTCAATTCTTGCATGGTCCATAAAGGGTGTGGTGTGAAGCACAGGGCTAACGCACAAGTGGTGATGTGTTATTGACAACCATGTTTCGACAGTGCGACGTTGCAGCGTTCAGGCCCATATGTTGCGGGACATGGTGAAACCGTTGTGGTATGGTACTGGATTGGGCTCAGTTCTTGCATTGGCCTTCAACAGGGTCCACAAAGGGTGTGGTGTGAAGCACAGGGCTAACGCACAAGTGGTGATGTGTTATTAACAGCCATGTTTCGATAGAGCAACGTTCCAGCGTTCAGGCCCATGTGTTGCGCGACATGGTGAAACCGTTGTGGCATGGTAATGGATTGGGCTCAACTCTTGCATGGACCTTCAACATGGTCCATAAAGGGTGTGGTGTGAAGCACAGGGCCAACGCACACACGGTGATGTGTTATCGACAACCAGATCTTGACAGGGCGACGTTGCAGCGATAAAGGGTTTAGGATTGCATCCGACTGTGAAACAATTGTAGTATTGTATTGAAATGGGTTCAATTCTTGCATAGACATTCAGCACAGTGCATAAAGGTACCCTAAACCTCTTGAGAAGTGACGATATACATATTTGTTCATGCAAAAATCTTACGTTAGGGCACGGAGTTCTTCGGTACTTCCTGTATATTTTCAGACCACACTAGAAAACTGGGAGGGTTTACAACCACTGCTGTTGTCAATAAGGGGTTGGTTATGAGCAGGCCCTAGAGTATGGATGTTAAAAAATTATGGAAATCAGTTTATATGTAAAATGTAATTGTATATTGTAATTACCTGGTTTGGATTAAGGCTCTGGGGGTGCGCACAACTTTGGGCTCACCTACGTGATTGTGTTTTCCACCCTATAGTAGCTCTCAAAAGAATCACAGCTCCAAACAAATCTCTTCCCTCTCTTCCTCGTCCCCCTCGACTCGTACGCACAATTCAATGTTGATTGTGTAGGTGGTTGTGGTATTTTGCTCTAGCTGGTTGTGGGCTAAGAGTTTGGGCAAAATGTGGAGGTTAGACTTGTTGCGGGCTGGAATTGATCTCGCACCCAACAAGCACCAACAAACCTTTGCTATTCACTACAACACCTTTGTTGTTGCTAGTTTAACACAATGGGTTGTTGGGGATTGTTGTAGGGCGAGTTTTGGGTTGGTAGGGTTTGAACAACTCATCACTTTGCAGATCTGAACTCTTGCTAAAGCCACTTTCTTGATCTAATCCATGGCTGCCAAGTAATTTCGCCAGGATACCCCGTCGCACTTAAATCGCGATAGCGATCGGCCTAGATCTTAGTTGAAGACATGCCTTACCATTCAAGAAATTGGAGAGTAAGCCCTTTCCAACGCGTACCTGCTCATAGTTTAAGGTTACGTGAGCTGCACGCAATGTTCCGTCGAAGTCGGCAGACTTAATCTCTTGTATGCTCTCCAGATTCGCTCGTTTTTCATCAGTGGTATCAGAGCTGGTTAGGCCTGCGACATTCCCTCCTATTATCATATTTCGAATTAACTTAAGAACCTCCAGATCTAGGGCCGGTTATGGCCCAGAAATTAGATGGCCCTCCTAGGTTCACCGGCTTGGATTTTCCGCTATGGCGGTTCCAGTTTACGCTTTGGCTAGGTATTAAAGACCTAGAGGGCGTTTTGGAGGGATCGGAGCGAAGACCTGAAGCTGATGAAGGAAAGGCATCTACTGGAGTCTCTAGACAAGTGGGAGAAGGGGCTGGGGGAGCCTCTAGCTCATCCATAACTGAGGGAAGTGGAGGTGGATCAGCAGCACCGCGAACCGGAAGGCAACGGCCTAGTGCGGAGGAGATTGTTAAGGTACAGGAAGCATGGGACCGCAAGGACAAGCAAGCGTTCCAGTACCTGTGTTGGGCCTTGGAAGGCCAAGTAGAGCTCCTAAAGATGCTGATTGACCTGAAAAGGAAGCAAGGAGCAGCTGCCCAAGCATGGAAGTGAGTTCAAGATCGGCACTTGCAAAAAGGGCTGCTAAGCATACTCACCTGGAGGAAGCGGTTTTACACCATGGAACGAAACTATGGGGATGAGGAGACCATGGTGCAGTATCTCCAGAGGGTGGATGAGTATGTGAGAGCCTTAGAAGAGTTGAACTACACTGTAGATGAGAAGGATATCATCTACACCGCACTCCAGGGGCTGGACCAAGAGGCGAACGAGGCCCTACTGCAGTACCTTCACCTTGAGCAACAGAAATGGACCAAGGCCTGGATACGGGAGGTGTTGGTCTCTGATGAGGCTCGCAAACGGGATGCTGGTAGAGGAGTTGAAGGGGGGATGGGGGCAGGTGATAGGGCTGCCTCCAAGAAATACCAGCAGCGGCACGGAGGTGGGGGGAAGAAGAAGGAGCTCGACAAGTGCCTCGTCCCTGGATGCAACCGGAAGCACTCTTGGAAGGAGTGCTGGAGCCGACCAGATGGGTGGAAGCCTCAAGGGTACCCAGGAGAGGCTCCACTTGTCACAAGGCCTGAGTGGGTGGAGAGGAGGATGAAGAATGGAGCATGAGGCCTAGTGACAATTTGGCCTAGTATGTCAATACTGAACCCTCCTTATCCTTAGAGAAGGAGACGGCGCTTGCTGGTCGTACGTTGGCTGACCCCAATCAGCTCATTCTAGACTCTGGAGCAACCTGTGGAATGGTACCTCGATGCAACCTCTTCATCACCTATCACTCCCTCCCACCTAACTCCAGAAAGGTGATTGTGGGGAGCGGAGATACGCTGCAAGCAATCGGCATCGGCACAATCACCGTCAAGGGGAAGGAGGGGGAGGTGCATGGCACGAGTGTGGGGGTGCATGGCGCAATACAAAGTGCCCGACCAGCAATGGAGGAAGCTGGATCCTAAGGCACAGTGGGGCATTTGTCTTGGGGTGTCGGAGAGGAGCAAAGCTTGGATGTTGTGGAGTGTGGCGGATCAGCGGGTGGTGGAAAGCAGGGATGTGGTTTTCCACGAGGGGCTGAGCTACAAGGGGTGGAAGGAGCATGGTGCGAGTACAGTTGGGAGCTCCCTCCAGGATCCCTACACCTCTTCCATCTTTCAGGGGGCATGGGAGGACCCTGGAGAGGAGGTAGAGGAGCAGCAAGAGGAACAAAGGGCAGCTGCACCTCACCATGAGGAGTCACCAACTGCTGGTTCTACCCCTGACCCTAACGCACCAGCC